ACAACACAGCCCTTACTGTAGCCTGGTACACACGACCCTTAAGATCCAGTGAGATGCCTTTTTGACGCCACAGGTGACGCAAATTAGCAAACGTGAAGTAGTAAAGATTTTATTCCAATTTTGCGATTTGAAGCTCAACAACATTTTGTTCAATAATCGCCTTCTCGTTAGGGGACCTTCCTCACTCTATAGAACAATTTCCTGTAGCCCGAATTTTCCTTAGGAGGGCCTATCTGGGCCCATCCAACACATTGTTTTTCGTGACCCTTATTATCTGGAACTGCCTTGTTATTAAAATAACCTGATAGATACACTCGTTTACAAATCAGTTTGGTTTTCACGAGCGAGGAAACTCAGTCGACAATTCTTCAGCAACCTTGTGAGTAGTTTCCTTCATGAAAATATACTGCGATATCTCGAATATCGTGCCAATTGAAACGTGAGGCGGCCTATGTGTAGCACATTCAGTTGTAGAATATCATAAACGAGAGATTCAGTTGTCTCTCGTGAAAACCAAAATGATTTGCAAATGAGTGTATTTCTCGAAAACAGTCCAATTTGGGTTCAAGTAGAACATGTAGTTGACGGAAACTCGAGGACTGCGCCTACCTGATGAGCCGGGACTGCGCCTACCTGATGAGCCCGGAATGGAAGGGCGAAACCGGTTGTGGGCTGTCGAAGGGTTCTCAGCAACCTTTATGAAAAAAATAACTGATAAATGTTACAGTAACTTCACAACCTGTGACAGTTTTCAACTGGTGATATCGCTCTTTGACCTTGCTTTATCGAGTTGCCGCTACTCACTATCCTGCTTGCAACCATCCGTTCATTAGGGAAGCCCAGTAGGATCATGTACAGCTTTAACCCTACTGGAGCTCGGACTGCATTCCCGAGTACACGCAACTGATTTCCGAACTCATCCCAATTCCGTGAGCTCTCTTCTAAGGCTGTTGCGAATTCAAGCGAGTGGTTTCTCGGCAGATTAACTGTTAATGCGCACCAACTGCTCAAGGCAACACAAGTTTTCTCCAGTTTTCATCGCTGACGAATCTTCGGAGGAATGTATTTGATGAAATATATTCACAGTAAGGTTGCAGTTTAGCTGTAATAGCATGTACACAGCTGAGGAATATGTTTGAGCCAAACTGTTTCATATCGACACAGGAGTTCACACATGCCGGTCGGGGGCGACGTCTTGACTCAGGCCATATAGGTTGGGATTCCCACGTACAAAAGTCCTCTCACGTGTTTCTCGTGGAACGCTTAGGGGACCTATTTTTAGCTCAAGATGGAGAGAATGAGAAGAGTCGTGAATAACCGCATCCAGTTTCGGACGTCTTGACCCATATAGGTTGGGATTCCCACGTACAAAAGTCCTCTCACGTGTTTCTCGTGGAACGCTTAGGGGACCTATTTTTAGCTCAGCTCACAGAGAATGAGAAGAGTCGTGAATAAC